TTTGATGAAAAACTCCCAATGTTGGTCCATCTGTTGCTATTAACTAGACTGATGACATTGATTTCCCAGAAAAAGAAAAAATTGAGGTGCATGAAATTGAGAACGTTGAACGTTCATATGAAACAAAGTTGTACAGGAAACTCACACTGAATATCATGTACATGCATGACGAGTCCCAGCTTTTATTAAATATCTGGGCAATCGGCGGGTCAGTGTGGTGAGGGGAGAGCCCCAATTGGTAGAAAAAAAAAACATCAAAAAATCTATTTGAAATCAAGAGGGATTCTCCTTTAAGGATTCAGAAAGATCATCCTTTTGATCAGGGGCGGAGCCACCCCAAAGGCTGGGATGGGCTTCAACACAGTCTTAGTTTTCCGGCTTTGCTATTTTGTGCTGAAAAAAAATATTTTACCATATGTTATATTATATTATTCGAATATTAATCTTATTTTGGCCTAAAATAAGTTCATTTTGTTTTACATTAAATCAATGAATTATATATTTGAACATGACTTAAGTTTCACTTTTCTTTTTAGATTATTATGCACCTCTTATTGTCACTTTTGTATTTATTTAATTATTTGATTAAATAAATACTATTTGAATATTTTTATTCGAGACAATATTTGATTGTGTTAGCCTTTCATTGACATACTTAATATGGATTTGAATTTATAGATTCCATAATCAAGTTTATAATATCTACTGAACTTTGAAATAAATGATAGTTGTTTATATGAAATTCACTACTCAATCTCATTTGCTGTTTATTGTGTTTTTATGCTTATTTTCTTGTGTCTTATGTGTTAGTCGAGACGGTCTCCATGCTCATTGTGTTAGCCTTTCAATGAAAGGCTAACACACTCATTGTGTTTTTATGCTTATTTTCTTGTGTCTCAAACGGTCCATTTTATCGTATTTTATGTTTTTTTGCTTTCGTTGTGTGTTTTTGTATTTTTTCTGTATTTTCGTGTCTCTTTTGGTGTTTTGTTTAGGTCCCATTTGCGAGTGTCGGGAAGATGAGTTGTTTGTGCCATTTTTGACCATGGACCGAACCATTCGAGCCATCCGAACCATCACCCGAGAAACGAAGTCAAGAGTCATGTCCATGCACCAAAGCGTCGAGTACTCGTAGCGAGCCTTTACTAGCATGCAGCGAAATGGGCGCGCGCACATCACCACAATTGGCAGCACTCGCTAGCGAGCGGGACCTCGCACCGCACGCAGCACAACCCAGCAGCCGCACACATGCAGCCAACGCTCCTACGCGAGCCGCCAACCGGGTGCACCACAACCTACTCCTAGCACTCGACAGTGAACGCCCCTTCGCGAGCCGCCAACCGCGTGCACCACAGCCACCAAATGCCGTGAACTCGCGGCGATCCTTTCTTCGCGCCCCGCAGAACACATCCGCGTATTAAGCATCCCTTACACTCACGGCGAACAAGCACTGGCGAGCTGCGAACGCGTGCGATGCACTACTCCAAGGCGCACTTGCTTCGAGTGAGGCTCGACGCCCCACCAAACGGCGCACTACACTCACCAACGTCGGAACACACTGCGAAATTGTTTTGGTTACCCGCGAAAAGCCTATTTCAGCACTACTCCATGCTCAAACTCGCTGCGAACTCCGTTTCGAGACCGGCGAACTTCAGAATTTCATTAAATGTGTGTGTTTCTAGTGTGTGTTTGTGGTGTAGCTATATATAGACACTGTGCTTTGTATTTTTGGATACCAACCTCATTTTCCAACTTTGAAGTTTGGAAATTCTCTCAATTTTCTCTCTTTTCCTTTTATGCTTTGGTTAGGGGCTTTATTACCCGTATTTTTCGGCAAGTTTCCGGCGACATCATTTTATTTCAAGTTTCGAACGTTTCCATCTGGTGTTCTTCATGCATGCATTAGGAGAGTGGGTAATTAGCTTTAATCCTCATTACTTCAATTTTGGCCTTTTTGCTTATGATGTGTTTCAAGGTGAATTTGGATTTGCTTGTTGAATAGAGGAATGTTCGATTCTTGTTGCTTGTCGATGTGTGTTAGGGATTAGTTTGTGCTGATCTTGTTTAAAGATTGCGACTTTGTTTAAAGAGTAGTCATTAGTAGAAAGCTCGATTTAATCACTTAGGATCACTTGGCTATGTTGATGTCTCTTTGTTCCTTTTGTGTTTATTCGAGTGATAGAGACCCCGGTTGACCTAAAGCTCTCATCTTTGTGTTCAATTTTTTAATTACTTTTGATTTCTAATGAAAACAGCATCTCAGCTACGTGACAAACGTCCTTGTGGTCCCATGAGGGGTCATGCAGAATGAGGATCTGTCATTATTTTTTACCTTTCATATTGTTAGTTTTACCCATATTGTAACTTTGTCCTCTTGTATTAGATGGCCCCAATGGAGAACCCCTTGTATGTCACCTTCACAAATCTTTATATGGGTTAAAACAAGCTTCTCGGGCTTGGTGTTATAAACTCACAAAAGTTCTCACTTCTTTTGGCTTCCATAATTCAGCTGCTGACAACTCTCTCTTTCACAAGAAAACCAACAATAGTTACATCTTGGTCTTAACCTATGTCGATGATTTAATTGTTACTGGGGACAATGATTCAGAAATCAGTGCATTCATCAAGGCCTTGGACAAGATTTTTCCTCTTAAAGACCTTGGCAATCTTCACTACTTCCTTGGGATAAAGATCATCACCAATCAATCAACAGGTATCTTACTCTCTCAGAAACCATACATCCACCAAATTCTTTGTTTTGCTGGCATGACTGGTGCAAAAGGGCTCACTACACCAATGATCAATGGATCTCACATTTCTAAACATGATGGTGACCATCTCTCTGATTGCACATCTTATAGAAGAATTATAGGAGCTCTTCAATATGCTACCATATCCAGGCCTGATATTGCATTTAGTGTTAGTAAACTCAGCCAATACATGCAAGCTCCCAAAACATCCCACTGGAAGGCATTAAAACGAGTTTTGCGATATCTTTCTAGGACTCTTACATATGGCCTCACTTTTAAACCTAGCACAACTCTTTCCCTCACTGCTTTTGCTGATGCTCATTGGGGTTCATATTGCAATGATAGAAAATCCACTTCCAGATATTGTGTCTATTTTGGCCCTAACCTAATTTCTTAGGGATCGAAAAAGCAATCTGTGGTTTCTCGATCAAGTGCCGAAGCTGAATATAGAAGTATAGCTGCTGCCGCTTGTGAGATTTTATGGCTGCATTCTCTTCTTTCAGAGATTGGCTTGAAAGTTTGTAAACCTAGCATCATTTGGAATGACAACATAAGTGCTGTTTCCTTGTCATCCAACCCAGTTTTCCATTCCCGCACTAAACATTTTGAATTGGACCTTCACTTCATTCGAGAAAAGGTCCTCAACAAGATTATCTCAGTACAACATGTGCCTGGGATTGATCAAATAGCTGACATTTGTACGAAACCGCTTGGAGGTCAATTTCATGCCCGGCTACGAAATAAACTTCACATCGTTCCTCCTGATCCGACATCAAATTGCGGGGGTAATGAAAATAACATCTCAGCTACGTGACAAACGTCCTTGTGGTCCCATGAGGGGTCATGCAGAATGAGGAGTTGTCACTATTTTTTACCTTTCATATTGTTAGTTTTACCCATATTGTAACTTTGTCCTCTTGTATTAGGTGTCCCCCTTCTAGACCATTCCTAGGGCATTATTTACAGCTATATAAAAGCTTTGATGTAATTAGCTTTCTCAATCAATGAATATGATATTTTTTATGCGCAACTTTCTTCCCTTTTCATACTCATGAATGCGATCACATTTCAACAATTTCCAATTACCATTAGTGTTTAACTCAATCCCTTCAAGCGAGTAGAATGTTTAGGACCTTGTTTTCGGTTGTGTGATTTGGTGACTAGATAATGAACGAAGCTCCGAAAAGCCTTCTTTGAGAATGACCCGAGTCCGGGTAACTCGGTTACCAACTATCCAAAAATACTACAAACATTTACTAATTTGACAAATTCAATTAAATGACATATATATGTTAAATGATATGACATATAATAAGAATGACATGATTATTACATTGTTTAATGTAATTATTTTAATAAATTCTATTTTTCGTAAATAAAAATTAAGTACATGAGAAAATTTACCTCTGTACGGTTTTAAAGAAAAATAGTGAAATGATTAAAAATAAATATTTGTCATATGTATAAGAAAGTAGTTAAAAATTCACAAGTTGTTCTTCATGTAACTGCAACATTCACTTTTTAATAATATTTATTGCGTGTTTCATGTAATTTTATAATTATATTAAATGTTAAAATTATTTCATACTTGGACTTCTTTATACGTGTGTCTAGCTAGATTTTCCGAATCGAGTAGTTCAAGTTAAAACTCGTGCTAATTTGATAAACGAGTTGGCGTGGCTTAGCTCGTTTAATAACAAAAAAAAGGAAAAATATTGAGCTTGGGTTCGACTCGTATAAACTCATTTCAAGTCATATAATAAACCTTAAAACCCAGACCAAAATTAAAAACTCAAACCAAGTTATTCGCTAACATGCTCGACTCGATTGGTTTGATAGACAAATTCGATTAATTTTTCGTGTTTGACTCGTTTAAATATACAAGCAAGTCAAGCTCAAACTTTTGCAAGTTGAATCGAACTATGTTAGAGGACAACTCGGTTTGAATAACAATTTTATATTTTGTAGTCCCGGTTAAAAAATATTTCTGGCTACGCCGCAAAAGCAAGTTATTGGTGATAAAATGCACCCAAACTCTCAAATAAAAATGAATAACCCAAATATATTGCTTGCATATGATTTTATTTTCCATTTTCCTTTATGAGTAGTGAATCAAGATTTCACCACATTTGCAACTTGTCTATTACTGTTAACCCCCTTCAAAATAAATATTAAAAGTTTTCAGACAAAATATTGAAAAAAAAAAAGAAGAAAGGAATTAGAACATAAACAATCCAGTATTATATTAATTCACAAGGCATCAATATACCTTAGCTTTTTCCTGGGACTCAACCTCAAAAACCCTAACTCCAGACTCACCATATCATCATCATCATCATCGTCGTCCGACCAACCGCAGTTGCCGTCGTTCTTCTCGAATATGTCGACTCCAAACAGCCTTACTACCCGGCCCGTGCCAGCACCGCTTTTACACTTCGCACAGATGTAGAGCTGACCCTCCGACCTCTGGAAAGTTACAACGTCCCCGGCCCTCAGTTTCTTCTCCTTGACAAAGCCGCTCCAGCCATTGGATAGCACGTAGCTCTGGCTGCTGCTCCAGTACGAGTACCTGAACCGCCACACCTTTCCCCCTCCATCCTTGAAATTCAACAGAACCCCCTTGGAACTGTTGTTGTTTTTGAGGGGTAAGTGCTTCTCCGCGTGCTCCTTGGGGATGACGAGGCGAAGCTTCCCGACATCGCTGGGAGTCATGATCTTCTCGAAGAGGTGGTCGCGAGGGGCGGAGGAGCCTCTGCTGGCCCCGTGGCGGCGGCACTGCTCGAGCTCGTCCTCGTAGGCGTGCTTGCGGAGCATGTCGACGACCTCGGCCTTGGAGCGGGAGGCTAGGAAGGTCTCCTCCACGCAGTCGCCAGGCGTAAGGCTGTAGTTGGTGACGGCGTCACGGCCGCGGAAGCGCAGCGCGGCGGTGTCGTACACTCGGGCGGCCTCGTCCTCGGTGTTGAAAGTGCCGAGCCACACGCGTTTGTGCTTCTCGTAGATCTGGGCACCCCACCGCCCGTTGGGCTGTGGAACCACTCCCTTGAAACGAGACGATGGTAGCTTCCGCCCGATGGATGGGGAGTCGCTGGTCGTGCTCTCGTCGCCGCTGCTTCCATCCATTTTTTTCTTTAATTAATTAATTTAAAATTTAATTATTATTTAGATGAGATTAGAAATGGGAAAGTGATGAAGAGGTTTTATGAAGCTCATTGTTGGGAAATAATTATATATATCGGGGCTGCCAAGTTTATCTTGTATTTTACCAATCTAAATATAGTTTAATAGAATTAATTATATGAAATAGTTGTACCGAAAAAAAAAAAATGATATGAAATAGTTGATTTCACTAAGTCGATTCTTAGGAAACTTCGAATCAAACTATTCAAACTATTACGACCTTATTTCAACAAAGGAAGCACGAGCTTAAGCTCTTGTTATGTGTGCAATATATAATAATAGTGATTAATGGTGCTACTATCTTTAAAGTAGTTAATAGATTGTACATATTTTCAAGGGGAAATATATGGGGTGATAGGATGTGGTGGGCCAACCCTTAGAGATTGCAAAGGTTAATTAAATGCTCCTAATTATATCACTGAACTTTAATAAATAATAAACAATTATAACTAAACCCGAAACACATCATTTTATGTTTGAAAGTAAACTCTAATAAGTTTTTATGTTTGAAAGTAAACTCTAATAAGGAGGAATATTTGTAAGCTAATTATTTGCCAAGGAGGATATACGGTTGACACACTACATCTAATTTAACATATGATTCAGTATCAATGTATTGATAATATTTCAAATGTATTTAAGATATAGATGATATGATATACTTTACCAACCAAACCTCGAGCGACCTGAAGGCAGTTCGGGCGGTTAATTCGAGCAGATTGACAATTCGGCCAGTGGACGGTCAACATGAGGACTCAAGGTCAAGAAATTATCAGGTCGATTAGGACTTTAGAGGAAGACTAGTTCATCAAAAGGTCGAGCTAGCATTCTAAGATAGTTGAAATTCAATCAGTCGTATGTGGAGAATTAGAATTAATAAAACCATTAGAGACTAGCCATGGAGAACGATGATCCCAGAAAGAACTTGGAACCCAACTTTGACGACGCTTAAATGTCCATTTATTCGATAGGATCAGACCCACAACCGAGATCTTTGAGGTCTGTTCTGAGGGCGATCACCTTGATTCCAAGCCTCTCGGATTTAGAGGTTCTTCACTGTTTGTAGTAGCAAATGATGACCCGATTACTCAGCCAGAAGGTAGATCGGGCATGGAGGTGGTCTCCGTACTTTTGACACAACAATGTCCACCGTAGGGCGAAGAGATGAGACCATCAACATCAGTAGACGGGTCCGAGCGAGCGAGAATGCCAAGACACTCACGAAAGGAGGAGGTCAACTTGATGGTAGTTGAAGTTGTTGTAGTCAAGTTTGCTCAACTGTAGTTGTCGAGTGCAGTGAACCACACTGTACCGACAAGATGGGAGGAGGCCGAGATTTTTAGCAGCTCGGCCCTAGGTGTAGCGTCCGCTTACTTTTCTTTACAAAATGTTAAGATTTTCAAAAATAATTTGAACTTTGGAAAACCCTTTCACATATAAAACTTTTCTCGGGCACTACTAAAAACCTTTTCTTTTTTAAAACTTTCTAAAATACTTTATTTCTTTTCTTTCTTTTCGTTAAACTTAACCTAAGCCTCACACTTATGTCTTTAGGAAAATCACTTCCCAACGTCTTACTTACTTTTAAACAATCAAGACAAAGCAGAACGTTCAAATACATAGTCTCAATGAAAAATCACTTAGTCTCAAAACATCGAACTCAGTGACAATTTCAAAACATGAAATATCAAACAAGAGTTCATAAAAGTTTGTGGAAACATAATCACATAACATTATTATGACCCCTTTGCCTTCACGTGTCCGTCGCCATCAGTAAATAGGACAAAGGCATGTTAGTTTTGTTAAGGTCTACAATAATGTTTCTGTAAGCTTGGTTTGGTTTCGGGGACTTTCGTTGTGCAAGTTTATCATAAAATCAACTTAGGGGAAATACCTAAGTTCCTTAAGTAGATTGTACGGAGATACATTTTGATTGACACTGGGGAATGCTGGAGGGTAGGTTGTCGTGGAACTTCGCATTATTGCAACAATAAAGATAAGACGAGCCATATTGAGGCTTCATCCAATAGCAATAAAAGAAAAGGTTAAGACCAAAGAAGTGAAGGATAAAACACCTAATGATGTCGTAGTCTGCCATGAGACAATTGGCGTTTGGAGCAAAGTGGATAAGAGGAACCCTAAAGATCAAAGCCAGCTCTAGGAGGTCGAAATTTAAGGGAAAAGTGAAATAGGCGTACACCTGTTCTGGTAAAAAGGCATAAAAGCCCTTAACGGGTTGGAAAGATAATCTCCAACCTCTGGAAGCCGAAGCTCCAAGGATTGAGGGAGCTTGCACTCTTGCCAGAAATATTTTAGTTCAGTGCCTGCCTAGACGGATAAGGGGATAGGCTTAACGACCTGAATTAGGTTATATGAAAGAGAGGCCTGAGCGCCTCCAACAATAGCCGCCTCAATAGGCCAGCATGAAGATAAAGGAATAACGACAGAGGAATGTTTGAAAAGTTTTCGATCATGGTGTTTAGTCAATTTTGAGAAGAATAAGTTGAGAGATTAATGACATAGTGAAGGAAGGAGAAGAGAGTAATTAAATTTCGAACTTTTCTTAAATGTTTGCCATGTCTCTTTTGTGCTGCTTTCTCGGCTCTTGCCCTGTTCGGGAAGTATGGTAAAAGCATCAATATGAAAGTTAGAAGTTCCTGTTTGATGCCAACGAAGGCGTACTGAATAAATTCCTTCAAAAGAGGCGCAAACATACGCATACGAATTTCGCTGCCACTTTCAGGATGAATCGGCTCAGTCCCGCGATTCGACCTATAAGGACTTTGAACTCCTTCACACTTGTCAACCTTTTCATTTCCAGCATTGCTCTCACTTTCTTCAGGTTTACTTTTATCCCTTTTTTTGTGACCAAGTACCCGAGAAAATTTACTGAGTTCACTCCAAACGAGCACTTGGGCAGGTTAAGCTTCATTCTGTACCTCCACAGCGTCATGAATGTTTCTCTGAGATCTGCCCCATGATTCTTCTTCTTCTTACTTTTAACCAGCATGTCATCCACATATACCTCAATGTTTCGACCAAGTTGCTCCTTAAATTTTTATCCACTAGTCTCTGGTACATTGCTCATGTGTTTTTAATCCAAATGGAATCACCACGTAGCAATATGTTCTTCAGTTTACAACAAAACTTACTCTATTTCTATCCTCTTTACCCAAAGGGATCTGATGGTAACCCTGCGACGTGTCCTTCTGACTTAGCAGTGCACACCCCGCACCAGAGTCGACTAACTGGTCGATCCTGGGGAATGGATATAAATCCTTTAGGAGCGCCTTGTTTAAATCCAGGAAGTCAATACACATTCTTCATTTTCCCTCTAACTTGGACACCATGACAGTATTGGACAGCCACTCTGGAAATTGTATTACTTTTGCCCGGCGTTCAAAAGTTTTTCCACCTCTTGCTCGATCACCCTGTCCATTTCCGTACCATAATGTCTTCTCTTCTATTTTACTGGCCTTACTTTGAGGTTGATGATAAGTTGATGCTCGATCATAATGGCCTTGATACTCGTTAACTTCTTCTCCGTGTAAGCAAAGATATTGGCTCGACCAACCACGATTTCAATGGCTCCCCCAACTCCTTACCAATCCTGAACATTCTATTATCGTAACCTTTAACCATATGGATTTCTTCTACCTCACCTCTGAGTTGGATACTTTCTCATTTCCCTTGCAGTTTTGACTTCTCCTCCTTTGATCGAGAACCACTTGTTCGATCCAACACCTCCTCACTAGTTTTATCTTGTATTTTGGCCATCTGTTAGTTGTTGCTTACCGTGGTCAAATAGCAACTCCTTGATCTATTGTTCTCTTACTATCTCCCCAACACTTTCACCCACCGAATAATTTATTGTCTTATTAAGTCGACACTACAGCTTGGAAAGCGTTTAAGCTAGTCCTCCCCATAATAATATTATACGATGACTATGCACCTACGACCACAAACCTCACCATTCAGACCTTCCGAGTTGCAGTCCCGACCCTAGGAGGACTGATATAATTATCTTCCCCATTGGCATCACCTTACTACAATTTAAACCATACATGGATGTCACAACTGGCTTCAAATCCAAGTTCAACTCTCAATTAATTTGCGTAAAGCAGTCATAAAACATCATTATGCCATCACTCCATCTGCGTCCTCGGTCGGAAAGTTGATCAGCGACGTCAGGCAGTGATCCCCACTTCTTTTATCTTCCTTTTGACTGCATAAACGTGTTCTTCCTTGCATTATTTGAGTCACCATCAGTAGGTCTGCCATAGATCATATAAATTATTCCTCTTTTGACTAGTGCATCACTCACCGACTCCTCTTGACCTTAATCTCCCTGCCTCCTTACTTCTTACGCCCAGTCGACCACCCTGATCTCCCCGACTATCATCTTCCTCATTCTTATCTTTATCACTTTTCTCCACAGAATCATCCCTACATTTTCTTTTCTCTGTTTTTTTTTTCTATGTCATGTCATGATAAACAAAATCCGTGTGATGCCCCGCTCGACTCAGGCCTTTGATTTAAACTTTGAGGTGTCTGCAGTTCTCTGTCGTACAACCATAATCTTTATGGAACCTGCAGACTTTTTGACTTCGGCTGAGTTGGTCCATCGAAACTCAACTTTGGCCACATGACCTCTTGACCATCCAGTTTTTACTCAATCTTTACCAAGACCTCTCCCATCTTGGCATTCAACGATGTGAAATTGTGGAACCTCTTACCACCTAGGATAGGTCGATCCTTCCACCTGTCTTTTCGTTCTCTATCTTGCTTGCCTCGCCCATATCTCCTAGGCGGACCTCTTATGGGTGAGTTCGCTATCCCTTTCCTTGGCTCAAGACGTGCTAACTCCTCAATCTTAGCAAATTCAACCTCTGTCTCATTCATGTCAATATACATCTTTCACCTTTTCAACACCTCATCATACG